ATTAAGCGCAGACTTCTAACAACATTTATAATGGAATGCAATGAACAGCACATATGATAATGATTTTCCTTTAGAGCTACACATCTGTAGAGTAACTGATATATTGCTTATACACTGAGAGAGAGAGCATAGGGAGCACAGGGATGTTGGCGAGCGAGCGAGCGAGCGAGAGAGAGAGAGAGAGAGAGAGAGACTTTTCGTATATATTTAGATTTATAACATTTTCTCTACCGATTGTTTAGTTGACTTTATATAGAAATTAAAACATAAACAAAAATCACTAAAACACAAAACTTAATCTAAATCTTAAATGACAAAATATATCACTAATAGAAACATAGAGACAAGTAATAACTGTAACAAATGAAGACATACCGGGGCGCACATATAGCACACGTCGCCACATGACCTTTAAATATAATATAAAAAATAGTATTTTATTAGATTAGGCACTGGATCCATAAAAACTGACATATAATTTCATATAAAAAAAGTTGTATATAATTAATACGAGAAAAAATAATATAAAAAACTCACCGCACGGACCAAACAGTGTATCCCTCTTATTGTCCGAACAGACCATACATTCCTCGAGAGTCTCCTGTTCTGTCTGCGAGCTCACGGACACGGGAGAAGCCGGCGGTTGACCACCACTACAGACGGCATAGGATTGGAAAATGCAATGAAAACAAAAGTTTTTATTTATTCTCGTTTTATAATGCAATTCACGCGAGAATATTCTCTCGCAGAATATATATATTCAATGAGATTTCATGGGATATAGAGATAATGGAAATGGAGATTTCGTGTACCAAAGCCTCTCTTTATGGCATTTATTCAAAGTGTTGCAGAGGTTGGGATCGGGACAGAGATCCAGTGGCGTCTGATTCTTCTTGTTCATCACATTCAGATCGGCGCCGTTTGACACCAGAAAGCAGGCGATCGATGCCGAGCTCTTCTTCTCCGAGCCCTGGGATCCCAATCCCATCAATAGCTACCATAATATATGAATATACAGTATATATAAGTAAAAAAGGCGCACAAATCATATATAATTATATAATAAAATGTATTTCTCAAACACACAAAAAATGAGTCAATTTTGCCATAAATTGTGAATAAGAAAAGGGAGCAAAAAATATATGGCATAAAATCGTATAACAAGAGAAACGCTTTTGGCATTAAATGTATTGACACACAAAAAATACAGTTCAGAGAAATCTCTTTTAATAAATGCAATAATTAATCATAAATTTCTGTGTAAATAAAATTAAGCCAAAAGTCAAGAAGTAATGCTTTAATGCTTATAATATATGATGTTTTTGCAGTGAGAGTGTGGAGAGAGAGAGAGAGAGAGAGAGAGAGAGACTAGGAATCGCAAGAATAATCGTTTAAATCGTTTGGGAAATTAACGCAACGTTTCATAAAAGTTTTTAATGAATTTTTATTCAATTCACATTTTTATTGCCTAACACTCGCCCGGATCGGGTATACAATGTGTGTGTGTGAGAGAGAGAGAGAGAGAGGATAGGGATGAATATGTTATGAGATGATGTCTGTGCTCTTAATGCTATTTGATATTAATGTAAACCGTGAGAAGGATGGGAAAGAAATACTTAATAGAGTAATGAAAGTAATGATTGCATAAATGGTTGTCTCTCGTAATTGTAAGTCTGGTGCAGTGTAGTAGTAGTGGTACTAATCGAGTGATACCTTTCCGACGTCCTGCATGTCCTGCAGTTGCCTTAATTGAGATAACGTGTGATGTCTTAATGCCTCGTGCAGTGGTGTATCGCCATCTTTATCCGGTATATTCAGATTGCATCCCTCGCGCACCAGTAGCTAAATAATAGACAGCCATAAGTATGCGGAATAGACGGTTAAGAGCCATAGAGTCATAGATAGACAGCATAACAGCACATGAATGCCAAACGCATCCATAAACGCAACAAAATATTGCTTACATTACATAAGGCTTACAGTTATATAAGGTTTATATTCCGTGTGTTTAAGGCTTTCGAGAAATGTAATGCAATTAAAAGGGAACTCAAAAATAGGCTTTCCTCTCAAGAATTTCACGTTTGGCTCGTAATGTAAACTATTTATCCTAGAAGTCATTCGCCTGTGTTTTCTTAAACACCATTATCTCATTGGTTTCAATTGTCTCGCAAACAAACCTAAACACTGATTGCCGTATAAAAAACTTTGACAAAAAACACCACATTTTTATTGCCTAACACTCGCCCCAATCGGGTATACAATGTGTGTGTGAGAGAGTGAGAGTGGGAATAGATATCTGTCTGTGTGGGAGAGGGTATTAAAGGGAAAAACTTAATTAAATGTCTGACAATACATATAATTTTAGTTAATTATATATCAAATAAAAGTCAACTAAAAAAATTAGATCTTATTCTTTGAGAAACAAAACAAAAATAGAGACAAAAATCAAACGAGAAATCAATAGACTTTTGCGCTATAAATGAGGGCAATTGGGAATGGATAGGGATAGGGATGCCTTACATAGAGAGATAGTACACACAGAGATGAGAGGGCTTTATAGTCAAATAGCTGTGAGCCATATATACCATAATTCTGTAGTAATATTCCTACAGAGAATTGCATAACAAAAATGCACTTTCGTTCACAGAATTTCAAGAGTCATCCTTTAAAACATATGATATAACAGTAGAGAATTTGCCTAAAAATAGCGCCCGGTGCTCTGTACAGTATGTGTACATTATGTTTATTATGTAATACTTCATTGTATACCCCCTGAGCGCTACACATGAACTCTAGTGCGGGGGGCGGGAGGGAAAGGAAACACACGTACTCTGACTATCTGTGTGTGCTGGCGCTCGACGGCCAGATGTAGGGGCGTCTGGAGGTTGACATTCTGGAGGTCCATATTGGCCTTCCCCTGTTGCACCAGTAGTTCGGCCACTTCCACGTGATTGTTGAGCGACGCCAAATGGAGGGCTGTGTAGCCGTCGTCCTTCTTCTCGTCCACAATCCAAGTCCGCGCCAACTTTGTTAACAGGATTCTCATGGCACTAGTAGATGGGAAAGGGAGATAACCAGTTGTTAGTCATAAAACTCGATACAAGAGTTGCGTAAAGAAATTATGAAAGAAACTCCAATCTCTCTCTCTCTCTCTCTCTCCCCGTGAGTTAAACGGAAAGCCATGAGAATTATCTATAAATTCATGGCATTATTCTTTACGTACAGAATATATATTACACGCCATTCCTTATATTGTAAAAATCGCACTCAAAATGTGAGCCAAACTATAAATACACGACTATTTACACACTTATTATGGATGTGTGTATTGAGTGATGAGTTTGTTAGGGGTTTATATGCTTTACATTATAATAAAAACGAGATTTTTATTCACTTCTCTCTGGCGTTCAATAAAACCCAATACAACGGCACAGGGTTTACACTAACGAGAGTTCATTGTAATGCGAGCCAAATATAATAAAGCCATTTATTACTTAATAGTCTTTGTGTGCGAGATTAAAAGGGCTTAATGTTAATCAAAATTTATTGAATAAAAATACTGTACTCTTTGCGCTAATTTTTTTGCTCGCAATTCTACTCCGCTTTATACAGTATATGAAAAGATAATTTGGCGTAAAAACAGAGATTTTTGCACAAAAATTATTATAAGTTTATTGTGTGTGTGTGTGTGTGTGTGTGTGCAGAATATTCTGGCACTATTTTTGCTAAAATAATTCATTTGCAGATTATGTGTGTTCACTTCAAAAACATTAAGCCTTTTTAGCGCAGAATATTCTTTACACTCAGGACTCGGATTCTCTCTATTAAGTCAATAATTATTTCGGAAAAACAATAACCAAATAATGCTTAACCATTGGACGTGTTATTTGATTCAATGCATTAAAATGAGTGAAAGCGTCGGGTTTTGCACACAAAACATAAACTAAACATTTATTAACTATTGTCTCGTTTTATACACACAAATCTCTGCCATTATTATTATAGCTTATAATATGATATTCAAATGGGATATAAAGGATATTAATTGCAGTGAGGCTTAGGCGAGAGAGAGAGAGAGAGAGAGAGAGAGAGAGAGAGCTTTCATTTGTGTTGAGTATAATTGAAACTCAAAATTTTGATGCAAACCCTATTGAATGAGTCGATTCAGAGTCATTTAAACAGAATATTCCTGAGAGAGAATGGCAAATGAATTGAGAGGACAGGGATTTATTGTATAAATTAAAGGCCTATTCTATGAGCTAATTAATTATCGCACAAAACAATTAATGACATTCAATAGCAGCGGAACATTGTATTTAAAACAATATCCAAACGATACTATTATTACGAGAATATTATGAGACTCTGGAGGAGAATATTCTTAAAGTATAATATTTTGACATCAAATTCCTTATACTCTCTAAAATAACAATACAATAGAGACTGTGAGGGAGGGGATGGAGGGGAGAGGGACGGGAAAGTTGTTAAAACAAGAATTGATGAATCAATAAATTGAGTCAATTATGGTTTCAGTTACTGCAGAAGCGCTCAAATTCTGGGCCATATATATAACGGGAATAACATGTTATACACATATAGTATGTATAGTTTGTATGTTATGTTTCCGTGTTTGTGAACTTAACCCTTAATGGAATGCCTCCACAGAATTGATAAATACACAGAGAATAGGCTTAAATACAGTCATACTAACTACCAGTGCCCACAGAATTTTGCAAACATATACAAAATATACGACATATAAGCGGATGGTATGGTATGGTATGGCATGGATGAGAGAGTCACAGACCCCCGACAACAAACACCAACACATGGATTCACTTAAATAGAAAACCCCCAGAATGGGGAGGGAGTCAATGGAAATGTATTTCAGTAAATACATAATCATATTGTATAACATATGGAGAGAGAGAGAGAGCACAGAGAGTAAGAGTAATTATTAATTAAGGGAATGGGAGCTAAGGCAAGGGGCACGGCATATCCAAATAGTTGGTGATGCTCTCTCTCTCTCTCTCTCTCTTACAGCTCAACTCAAGAAATGGTAGAGCACTGTAAGAGATGTGCCAACGACTATATAAGGGCTGGTGGACGGGCTGTTGTGCACCAGAAAAAGCTATGGAAATACGAAACACGTACTGACGATGAATATATAAAATGGCACAAACACTATCCGTCCCAAGCATATAAAGGTGCATATATTTAACACTACAAAAACAATTATATCACTTTTATTTTGCATTTAATTGTTAGTTATATTTTTGTTATTCACTTATATTTCTCGCTATAAGTTATTCCGACAACAAAATCAAAGCCAAAATCGCGACGATTTTTGGTGAGAGAAAGACATCGATGAGAGTGAGAGTCAGTCAGACGTGTGTTATATAAACAGTCATTCAAATCAAATACTTATATATATATTATATTATATAATCTGATGAATAATGCGCCCGAAAGTATATGTTTGATTATTTTATTATATGCCATACAATAAATTTTTTGATTTATATTTTACGCGATTTTTTCTTATTTAATAAATACATTATCCAAACATATAAGATGTGACTCCCATTTCTCTCTCGCTCACTGTTTTCTCTCTCGGTCTCTCTCGCCTACCATTCTCTCTCGTATGAGACAGTTATCATATAATTCAGTATTAAGTGGTGTCCACTCAGTTCACAAGGAATTAACTCTTATATCAAATTAATGATAACTGACTTCCAGTGCGTGTGTGACTCCACCAGTGAATGCCAGGGCTCTGGCCGTAAATGTCGACTCAATTCATCTCATTATGACATACCATAAGAAAAAGCAAATAAAATGCGAGAAAAGACTACTCGAAACACACAATCGTGTGAATGGATGTCAAGGCACGGGTACAGTGAGTAGAAAATTTAAATTTCAAACCCATTTCTATCGCTTATGAATATTTTATGCAAAAATAGCTGCAAATTATATGACAATTCATTTGTCTATTTGTATTACAATATTATGATGAGATGTTTAATATAAAAATGGCTTAAAATAATAAATATCGTGTTAGAAATTCTCTCTCTCTCTCTCTCTCTCTCTCTCTCCCCTCAAGTGGAGTGAGAAAATTCTGTAAACATTTAAATACACGGCACACAAGAATTTTCTATTAAAAACTTTATACACAATTGTTTTGGTGAAAAATACTTGAAAACCACACAATCGTTGGTAAGGAGCGAGAACTCGAGAGGTAATGAAATTTATTTTATATATCGTATCGTATTTCACAAGAGATGGCAAAAAAGTGAGAGAGAATCTCAAGAATATACAAAGTATACAAAAATTTTGACTATCATTTCAATTTCATATTTGCCTCTTAAGTCTTGGTCTGAATTGCATATAAGAAAACTCAAAGCATATAAGAAAGAGACAGTGAAAGGAGGGAATGAGACGACATTTGAATAAAAGTGAATGAATCGGGAAAATAGATATAAATTTTTGTGCCTTTCTGTGAGTCAAAAGAGCATAACATTGAATATATTTAGAGTCAAAATGTATGCCATTCTCATAATACAAGTCAGAGAAGATTGACTTAAAATTTTGCGATTTTCTACACACAATGAGAGACAGAGACAGACATTGAGAGAAAGTATAACGAAATTGTTTTTGTTGTGTAAAAATAGCAGAAAAGAGAATAGGGATGAGAGAGAGAGAGAGAGAGAGAGAGAGTCGGAGAGAGCAAAAAATATCATTCGAGTGCTCTGTTTAATGAGCCATTAAGTGATGTCCTTTTATTTTGAGAGGAAATTGTATTACTAGTCGAGTATTTCATTAATAAATCACTCGAGACTTTACGTACAAAATGAATAAAAATAGTGGCAAAAGAGTGCACAGAATATATGGTATAAAAGAGATATATATCTATAATACACGAGTAGTATATATCTATAATAACGAGAATTTATATTCAATTATCAATGAGCAGAATATGAAAAATGATGGCAAATATGATGTGTATGTGTTGTGTTTGGCTGACTGTTAGCGTAAACATGTGTTCTGACAGTCAAAGCATTTTTTTGCTTTATTTTTCTTAATGTTTCGTTTGTTAACTACACTGTGTTTTCCACTGCAAATACAACCAAAACTTTTTGATGCAATATTCTTGTGTGTATTTCTACAAAGAGAGCCATACATTGGCAGTGAATGGCAGGCAATCAATGGTTGTACTGGTATTGAATAGTGATGTTAAATGTGTTGCAGTTATCTAACGTTCACTACCGAGAAGTGAGCGATCGGTTCACGAGATATGGAGTACACTACTGAACGGAGATGTGAGCAAAAAATGGACATAAAAACAGTCAAACCATCACATCATAGACTATATGTGTGTGTAATCGCAGAGAGTGAGTGAGTGAGTGAGTGAGTGAGAGAGAGAGAGAGAGACCGTCTTATATTTAGGTGCGGAGAGTGAGATGAGTCTCAATTTGCTTGTGTCTAAAACTTTGTGCCAAAAAAGTCATTACTTCGCTCGTTCTGTGCGACCACATCCCGTCCCCCTATAATTTCCATTAGAGACAAGTCTCAGATTTACTACTCGTCTCTCTCTCTCTCTCTCTCTCTCTCTCTCTCTCTCATCTAATTCTTTCACAGACACAACGATGTGAGTTTGAACGAGACTTTTGTGTCTTACGAGAGCTTAGAGTTATTCGGAGTCCTCAGCCGTGGAGAGAGAGAGAGAGAGAGAGAGAGAGAGAGATGGCGAGTGAGACATTTGAGTAAATGTGAATGAATCTTAAAATAGATAATCTTAGCATTTGCTGTGGAGTCAAAAGAGCCATACATTGAATATACATATAACTGGTGAGCATTTACGGCTGTGCGCTCCGGAAGCTCATCAGCTCGCCATATATGGGTATGGAGTGGAGCACTGGTGTACCAGAGCATCAGCACCCATACCCGTCCCGGAGCAGAGCACAGCTCATAGAGCGCACAGGACTCGTAGCCACAAGTTGTGTGTCTCTCAAACAAAACTAATCAAATCATACTTTTAATTTTGTGAAACTAT